CGGCAGCCAAACGCAGTAGCTAGGAAAACCAGACTTAACAGTGCAAGTTACATGGACAGCTCAATGGTGACTGCTGTAATAGTATAGTGCAGGTGGCGAGCCTAACACGCTACCATTGAGCTACCAATGTGTGAGGTCGCTATTCTCTCTTGTAATTAAAGTAGTGTTTTAAATATTTTGATTTTAGCTACTCATAATTTTATAGGTAAAATTATTACAGTAAATGCACCATTTTTAACCTAGACAAGCCTTGTAAAAAAGTAAATTGTTTAATAATTATTAGATTGTCTCTTTGTATTATTTATTGTAAGCTTTACTGATGTATTCAGGCAAGGAGTTTGAAAATTCAACAAATAAAGCAGAAAGAGGCCTTGGATCGGGAGCTGAAGCGCGAAGCTCAACTGACAAGAGAACAGGAAATGGTCTCAAAATCCCCCTCCTTCACTAACTACTGTCCAGAGAATACGTCCAAAGCTCTCCCTCCGAAACCACCGTCAGTTCATTCTTTGTGACAGTTGTAAACCAGGACATTAAATTGTTTTCCTACAGTTACCTAACAATACACATGTTCTCTCACTGATTTGAGAAAGCAAAGTATCCAATTCGCTCACCAGTGAGACAATGTTGACATTGTCTCACTTTAATTACTTTGTCTCACTCCAGATTTGCAATGTGAAGGCACGAAATAGTGAGCGTGTAACATGCAGACAAGGTCGTATGCGCGCGAAATACGTTGGCAGCACTGGCTGTAAATCAGCTGGTCAGCTGTTTTATTGTTGTATCATGAAATGTCATATTAAAAGTTCACTTCGGTGTAAAAATATGTTATGTTTCTTTACCAATTTATTTGTTTTGTGGTAACTGTAGGAAAAATGTAATGTGCAATTTGAGTGCAAAGTGCTATTGCCTCACTCGAGAAACCATTTCTCTCGAGGTATTTCTCTCGAGTGAGTCAATTGGTCACTTTGCTCACTAGTTGCACAAATAACTATTAGTTACGTTTACTGCAACTATACCAATCTAATGTAATGGTTCTAAATGTTATGTTTTGGGAATACTATAACAGCTGTTTTACTCGTGTACGTAGTTCGTTGTACATTTATGGCCAGCAGTTTGAGATTGAAGGTTTTATTTTACTGTATTATGGAGGAAGACTCAATAGTGCTGTCATATAATAAAATGTTTATAGAACTATTAAATCACAAAAATTGTTTAGTTTTCAATCAATATTTTACATAACAGCCTAAATCCTGATGAGTTTAATACATTTTCTACTACTAATTAACGAGTCTAGGAAATGTAATCAATATACATCAAATATATTTCAGGGTGCTGATCTTACTAACATTCATGTAAATATGTATCCTTATTAACTTAAAGGAATATATTTAAAACATGGACGATGATGTGATAAAATGCACTTTAAAAAAAGTTATATGCTTGGTACGCTTTGCTTTCTTTTTGGGGAATCAATAAAATTTTAATATTATCATCTACAGTACTTGATAATTTAACTTGGAGGCTGGTAGGCCTAATTTAGGAAAAGAAAAACATACAGTAACCACCAACAGTGCTTTGTGTTGTGTCAGCTAACCTGTCGGACATTTTTATTTCAAACTGACAATTTCATATTAAAGTATTATTATGAAACTGTACGATAAATAATCTTACACAATCACATTATCATTTTACAACGGCGCTAAAGGGCCATATTTTTAAGCAAATTTGTGTTTTATACACAACATTTTGAATTTTAAACTTGAAATTTTGACTTTTAAACACGAAATTTCAACTTTTAAACACAAAATTTATGTCATTGGTGGAGGGGATTGATGACAGCTGTACTATTCATATCACGAGGTGCTAGGGGTTGGAGTTGGAGAAGCTTACGCATTGCCGTATAATGGATGAAGGACACAAAGAACACCTTATCCAAGATTATTTTAGATTAGGGCTTCATAATGCAGAGATTTTAGCTATTTTACTCTCAAAAAATAATATTTAAATAAGTGAGACACAGTTGAAACGGAAACTGTCAGGGTTGGGACTTGACTAAATGGAAGACGAAACTATTCAGATCTTCAAGCAGTTTCTTCCTTTATTCAAAACGAAGTGAGGGGATCTGCATCTGGACGGCTCCATGACTATAAATGGATGCATTTAAATGCATTCAAGCTGGATATATCATACAACCATAGATTAAACATACTCGTTAATGTTAATCTATGCTACAACGAACATAACTCCAGTCCAACTCCCAATGCCAATGAGGAACTGAGGAAGACCCGCGTTTCCCTTTCCCCTGCAGATTTTGTGTTGAAATATCAAAATTTTGAGTTAAAAAAAGTCTAAATATCGTATTTATAAGTCAAAATTTGGAGTTTAAAAGTCAAAATTTTGTGTTTAAACACGAAGTTGCGTAAAAATATTTCTTTCTCTATGGCCCTTCAGCGCCGTCGTATCATTTTCACTTTTGATAAGACTGAAGAAAGATTGTAAATAGTACCACATGAAAATACGTTGACCGAAGTGGAGCTATACCTAATGTGCCTTTGTTTTACAAGGATTTCAAACTGTTAACCCTGATACTATTAAGGTTGATAAATTATAATGGTTTTATTATGTTGGTTTATTAAAAAATTAAATAAATTATGTTTCCAAAACCGTATGGATTTTTTTTAATACTCCCAAGCCTTGTTTTCTCTATAGTTGTGAAATGTCCTGTGTCAAATTACACTGCAAATTACCGGTGTATTTATATTTTCTATTCAAGATTATAAGGTAACAAGAATGCCTTAGTGTATAGCAGAATAGCACTGTAATAAAAATCATCAGTGAGACTAATTGTGAGATGACAGTGATGTTGAATAGTTAGAACAGTGAACAGTATTGAAGTTACCACACGTTATACATGTAACTTGTACGATTGCTGCTGACGTTAACAGTCATCAAAGCAGATGAAAGGGTGCGCCTAGGCGCTCTCCAATGTTCACTATTAAAGGAGAAGACTAGAAGCTAGAAGCATTGAATATATAACACTAGAAGGAGCGAAACACCAACGTTATTATATGAGCGACGCTTGTTGATCATAGAGAAACCCTACGTTTCAGGGATTAAGGTCGTACCCACCCCTCATTGCCATCAACCCCTAACTTTCACTTTTGCTAATTACCAGGGGAGTTTTGTTCTTGTTGTGACAGTTTCTATCATCTCGATCACAGCAGTTATGAATACAATTAATTTAATTATTTGTCTTTAAAAACAAATTTTAAAAATATAAGTTAAAGATTGAAAAATAAGAAGTTAATTTTTATCATATAACAAAAAAGTCTACATTTACGAGGGCTATCCAGAAAGTAGATAACGTTTTTGACTGTATCCGCAAGAGGCGGGGCTAGCGTGGCCATCTTGGTGTCAGTTCGTTATGCAGCTGTTGGCATCTAGCCGTGCTAAGTAAGAGGTTTCTGCTGTACTCCATTGAGTTACTGTGACAGTTTAAAATGTCTGTGTTAATTGAAAATGCCGTGAACTGTGGAGTGGGTGCAGTTATTAAGTTTTTGACTGCAAAAAACTGTAAACCGATAGAAATCTATCGCCATCTTTGTGAAGTTTATGGGGAAAAAATTATCACTGAAGGTGGCAAAGTCACCTTCCTGGTGGAAGGTGATTGGGTGGTGGAGTCAGTGGGTCATAAAATTTAATGGCTGAACTAACTTTCACGACGAAGAGCGTAGTGGAACACTCAGCATTGTGACTGCTGAACTTGTCGAAAAAGTAAAGGCTGAAGTCTATAAAACTCGAAATTTCACAATAAAGGAACTCTCAATGGGTTTTCCACAAATTTCGCAAAGTTTCTTGCACGAGATCAAAACCGAAAAGCTTGGTTACGAAAAGTTTTGTGCAAGATGGATACCGAAAAACCTTGACAGAGAGTCACATCAGCGAATAGCTGCAGCACTAACATTTCTAGATGCTTACGATAAAGATGGTGACTCATTACTAGTATGCATAGTTTCTGGTGACGAAACATGGGTTAAAAATGTTGTAACTGCTTGCCGTCTTTGGAACGATCTCCCTTTAGCTATTAAATCCCTCGATAGTCGTTCCCGGTTTGTGGCAGCACTAAAAAATCTCTATTTTGAACGTATGGCCATGGTAGGTTTGTCGTAGGGGCCTGTGCGCATGGCGGTCGCTGACTTGTATGTTTGATAAAAGTTTCTGTATCTATGATTTCTGTTTTGTTTTATTGTATAAGCTGATTATGTTAAAATATTGATATTATGTTTTAAAGTACAGGTTATGTGTAAGAAAGGGCCATGTGGCCCTAACTTTGCCTGTGTAAATAAATGATTTTTCATTTCAAACATATGAACTGCGAGACGAAATTGCAGTCAATGCAGTGGGGGCACACAGATTGCCCCCAACCCATGAAATGCATGCAAACGATGTCAGCAAGGAAGGTGACATGGTGATTGTTTTTTGGGATAGGAAAGGTGTAATTCTTTTGGACTTCCTGGAAAGAGGCACTACAATAAACTCTCTAAGGTATTGCCAAACCTTTGAAAAGTAGTATTTAAGTGTGGCTTTCATTTGTATATAATAATATATTTTTCAAAGACTTTGTTTATCCTTAATTCCAAAACGTAATCTACTTTCTGGATAGCCCTCGTATTTAGTTTGTATATAAATGTAATAAAAAGACTAGTCCACCAACAACTGAAACAAAAGGCTTGAAAAAATACAATTTGATTGCTTATTATGAATACCAGATTTCACTTTACAAATGCTTAAAAATTGTGTTTAGAGAAATAAATTTTTCAAAATTTTTCTGGACGAGGATCCTCCATCTACCTCCTGGGGGGTACCCAGCCCCCCCCTTGACGAGTCTAACTATGCTTAACAATGGCATAAGCCTGCTAAAATTTTTATACAATACAGTTTGGAAGGTAAAGATTAAAAAGATAGGTGCAAGACGTGGGGATAAAAGATCAAACAAAAACTTTATAAAACATTTCAACTTTATTTATCTGACAAATGCCAGATAAAAAGTTCTAACAAACTTAAAAAAATATTTCAGTATTTTAAATAGCATTTACTTACGTCCTTAATACATTAACAGAAAAATCAATATAAGCTAGCCAGAAAAAGGCTGACTTTCCAAAACATTAAGTATTAAGTATCAATAAATAATATCAGTAAAGTTATTATGATGAGAAATCGTAAGCATGACGAACAAATCTGAGTGACTATATTGAAATGTTTAGGAGATGCCTTAGTGTATTAAAAGAAACATGTAACTCATACAATGTGGTAAATATAACGTACAAATTATATCTAAGTAAGACAAAATGTTTGAACTCAAATAACTAAACATACACAACAATAAAAGAAACACTGGTTGTAAGATTCACTTTTGATCGCCAAATAACTTCTTTTACGACTCATCAATGTTGATGGTTTGAGTGAATCTCTTAAACAAACAAGGAACTTTAGAGATAACTAAAATAGCGAAACAAAAAATAACACACAATTAAGTATCTGTCTCAATTACATGTTTACATCTCACTGTTTTGCTAACCCTTCAAGAAGTGCTACTTTTAGACACATCCTCCTAAGTGCCATGTGAAACTTATTCTCAGTTTCATTAAAATATACACAACTAGAACTGGAACCTACTCCTTAGTTAGGTGGGCAGCTAAAAATGTATTTGCAGTTAGGAATAGTATATTACACCATCGCGGGCAAGACTGGGTATTGGATGTACGAACCACATGCAATATGTTTTGCCACACTACTACCAATAAGCGGGGCTTGTAAACACATACATACAATTACAACATTGTTTGAGATACACTTTTTAACAGCATTTTCAAACTAAAAACTAAACCAAACAAACAAATTTCAAATTAATATTTAATAAAAAAAAACTATTTTCAAAAACTCTTTTAATATTTATTATGAAAGTGCAATTTGCCTGTCCACACATTTCTAATATTTATCGTATAGCTTTGTTAGGTTTAGAGCCTACTTAAAACTCATATTACGCCTATTTGAAAGTGTCGTAAATTTACTGTACTCCATCTGATTTTACTAAACCCTTTCTTGAAGACTCTTTGGTCTGAAAAGAGTACAGAAACCAATAAATAATACTTACTTGGTGCTACTTACTGTGTAGTGTGGCGTAAAGGAAAAGAAATTTACATTAAATTCTTAAAAAAATATGGAAATCTTAGATAAAACTTGTATCATATATGTCTAAGTCTAACTCAAATGATTTATTTTAAAGGTGGAAAAGTTTACTAGTAGCCCAACTAATGCTTAGTGAAACAATCATGAATTAACATTTACAATAATAGAAGCCCTTCATGGTAATTGTGTACCTATTAGCAGTAATGTGTAGTTACTAAACGTAAATATTTACATTTGGTCTTTTTAAGTTTCACAAATGGTATCAGTTTTTAACTTTTAAGCAGCTAATTCGAAAAACTAAGAATGTTATACAACTATGTGTATCTATCATCTTGATATACCATTGATTTTGATTATATAACCATTTTTAAAAATACTTTGTTACTTCTGTTGCAAAGTACAGTTAAAAAGCTACTAGTGATAACTAATGGCACATTAATTTATACATCGAAAGTAGCTGCGCACTGTACTTCTCAAAGGGTTAGCATTTCAATAACTGGATGTCCATCACAAACTTCACAATCTCACGTTTGGTTATTTTTAGCACCAAAAACGGACTGACAAACAATAGTAACATGAATACCTAATTTTACATGATATTAAGAAAATATTTTTTTTTAATCACACGAGTTAGTCCACAGTAGATACCTAACTAACAACATACTGTACAGAAAACTATGTTAAACTTCTTGGTATCTCCAAATCTTGAAAAAACTTTAAATGCTTGACAAACATCGACAATTGAAAACGAAGTCCAAATGTCCAGATTCCTTGGACCTCTTGACAACCTGAAACAAGGAAATTTATTAAGATTAAGTTATTGACTCTTGAGTACAATGCTTTCATAGCTAAGATCAGGATCTATTCACATTTCTCCCAATTTGTCAGAAACTGTTACTTTTAGGGGTCTGTGGTACAGTGGTGTGACAGATTTTTTCGGGGCCCCCCTGCAAACTTATTTTTTGGGCCACCCCAAACCACTTTGGGCCACCCCACTTTGAGTTATTTTTAGGCCACTGACTGATACAATATAATCAAATGCCCTCTGTGTTTCTTTCTCGACAAAATACTGTTAGGAGTAAAAGGTTTGGATAATAAGTAGTACTGTAATTGTTGTTAGAAAACCATGAATGTTTGACACAATGCATTTTCATTGTATTGTCAATGTATTAAAATTAAAAATAATGGTTTAAATACAATCCTGAAAAGAAAACAGCTAGCAGTGTACTGTACCGATTTTGTAACGAGAAGCGAGGTACAATACATTCAATAACATACATTTATAACAACTATTTTCAGCCGCTTAATTGAATTTCCATCCAAACAGACTCACAATAAAAGGAATTTTTTAAATAATCTAATAGTAATGAAAAGTATAATTTTCTTACGCAACACCCTATTTATCAATCCAAAAATTCAAATTTCGGTTCAATTTAGGTTTGGTTCATGTAAACGTATCAGACTGTAAACTGCTTACAACCTCATTTCAAGGACTTTCTAAACAAGATAAACCCCACTACTCACCATATCACTTATCAAAGACAGTCTTGAGATCATGCTCGTATACAGCTATCAGTAACATGATGGCGATGCCAGTCATGAGTCCAGCGAAGTGAAGCACACACTGACACAGTGAACCTCCCTCATTGGAGTGACTGGTTGTTAGCTCCGGGATCTGCGGCAAAAACAACCAATCTGATAAAAATAACCCTGCACAGCTTGTTACAGCTGTACATTACATGGGGCCTACAATTTATGATAAACTGCAACCAAACATGAAACAAATAGGATCTTTAACCAAATTTAAAAGCGTGGCTAATGGAGAAGGCCTTTTATTCCATGGAAAATTTTTTTTGGAAGGTTAATACAAATAATGTTTTCTTTTTTTAATGGTATTTTACAATCAATTTTTGCCTTTTAGCATTGCCTGTACACAGAATAGACTTCCCATGTGATATGAAAGTTTGAAGCCAAGGAAATAGATGAAGTTCAGGACCATCTCACTAGAGTTTATTAGTGTATTGGGTGACTTATTTAAGTTCTACTTTTACCATCTGTGAATAAAATTTGGGCTATGGACAAAATGGTACCAAGCAAACCCCTGAAGTCCCTCATTGAGATATTTGTCAAAAAGGTTTTCCTCGATAATATCAAACTGTGTTAATATTTCATAATCAATTACCATATCAACAAGAGCGATGTATAGGAACATGCCCGCAGCGGCCGCAAACACCCACTGTGTCATGTGTTCATCGTGTCCGAGGAAGATACCAAAACACATTCCCACAAAGCATAGAATGGAGGACAACATGTTGTAAAACACTGCCTGTTTGGCACTCATACCCGCTTTCAGAAGCACAGCAAAATCACCTGCAACAAAAGTTAATATTTCAGTTATAATACTTTTAAGTTTTACATTAGCAAAGTCACTAGCATATATTTTACACCTTCTTAGTGATAAAGATATTGAAGATTGCATCCTCATCAACCCGACCGAAGCATTCTCTGGTACTGGCACATTTGAGCAAACGGTTGGAAGGGTTACTATTTTAGAGGAACTTTTATGTATACAACATATTATTTTATAATTTTGTATTGTGTCACCTGATGATGCTACTGAGGAGCGAACTGGTCTAGTGGAGTAGCACGGGACAGAGGTCCAGGATTTAAATCCCACCATGAATTTTATCTAAGTTAAGTGATAATGCTGCTACTCTCTAGGCCTAAATGTGTAAAATAATTTCAGACTAGAGTCTAGGCCTTAGGATGTGAAGGTGAGCATATTAAATGAAAAATTACCTTTATCAACCAAATAAACATTGATATTTCTCAGTAATGCTACAACAATGGTAACAATGACCATCTGCTGCGGCAGGAGTAACCTGATCCTCAATCAAGACAACTAAAGAACTTTTATGATACTTTAGCTCTCTGACATTATCTTGAAATGAAATTAAATGAAATAATATTTTATTTCCGATTAATTATATACATAAGAACATTGTTTTTTTTTACTTAAAAATAATACAGCAAACATTACTATCTAGATAACGAAACAAAAATTATATACTGTAGAAATAAAGTGAACAAAAGTGTAAAAAAAAAAAAATACCTTCTATAACAAAGGAAAAAGTTAATTTAAATGGGAGGTAAAAAATTGTAGGAAAACAAAAAATAATTCGTATAATTTTAAAATTTGTCTTGCTTGAAACTGAATTTTCTGTGTTCTGGAATGAAATTGCCGATAAAAAACTCTTTGTGCAAACTGAGGTAATCTTATCAAGGGAATGAGCAAAATTCGGTTAATGGGTCCAGATTAATAAGGGGTTACTCTACCCAGTGGGCTAAAAAAATTAAATTAAATGCTTTATTTCTATAGACGACATGAATATATGAATGTATGGGAAATGTATTTTTTTTAAGAGGTCGGCGGCCTCATTTAACCTTGCATTTGCCCGTCCACATAGACTAACCGCCCCATGCGTGGATCGTATACAGCAAAGCAAGGAGTGAGCCGGTACAGTACAAAGGTGATCTGTACTGATAAAATGTTTTTGGCAGTGACCAGGATCCAAACCCACGACATCACTGCCTTGGGCCCGAAGTCCGTGACGCTACCAACTGAGCCACCGACTCACTAAGCTCATTAAGACTGTGAGTAAATTGTATACATACATAATTTGTTTGTTCCTGCAACAAGGTAAAAAAATGCAATGTAACCAAACAGCACATATTGATATGATAGACAGACAAACAGATTCACATTACAACAAAAAAGGTCTAAAGCTTGTTACTACATTGAAAAATACAGATTCTACTGTATTTACCAAATGAAAACACTACCTAGTTCATGTGGAAGCTCGTGACAGAATACAGCGAGGGCAGTGCTGAAACCTCCAGTGACGTTGGAAGAGAACGCGGCTCCGATGGCCATTCCATCAGTGAAGTTGTGGAGACCATCACCCATGATGACCATCCAGGCCACTGAGGACATGGACTGCGGGGCCGAGTGAACATGGCCGTGGGTATGGGAGTGGCCATGATGTACATTCTCATGTTCTCTAAAATGTACAAGTAAAACCTGTTATTTTTTTAAATTATTTATATTTTATTTTAAATCATAGTTGGTGGCCTATTTTGACTCTGAATTTGCTTATTGACATAGGGCCTGTGGGGGAATCATATCAAAGCAAGGGGTGAGAAGGTACAGAACAAAAGTGATCTGCGGTGATAAAATTTAGTGGCGTACACTAAGACACGAACCCACAACATCACTGCCATGGCGTAGTCTGTCATTCTGCCAACTGAGCTACCAACTCACCAATCCTGTTATCAACTGTAGTACACTTTGTAAAAAGTTTCTATGATCTAAATTTGTTTAACACGTTTGCTGCCAACCGCTAGATTCCGGGACGGCGCCAGGAGCTGAACTAACGCTCGCCGCTACGTAACATTGCGCCGATACACTGAATTACAGTAAAAACAACAGTAGTTATACTGGATGGCAATTTTCTGCAAAAAAAACTGGCTTTGGACATAGTACTAAGTGATTCTGATAGACAGCAGCACTACCCAGGTTGCAGTCGGTAAAGTAATGTCGCTATCTAGTAGGAAAGAGGTGGGACAAAGCCCTGTTCTTAACGACCCTGGTGATGATTTTGGGAAACTATATTTTTCATTGTCAGAAAAGTACGTCCCCACGAGCTGCAAAGAAATATAGGACGCTCGTGACGAGCTGGCTGATCCGTGGAAACTTTAAACAACAATGAACGGTGACGTTCCGGAACGTTCCTAGCTCCTGGCGCCGTGGCCCAGCTGACGTTCTGGAACGTCCGTAGCAGCGAACGTGTTAACTGAAGGCCAGGCTTCATTACTGTTGAATTGTAACACAACTATTCAACTTATTATGCACACTCATCGCAACAAATCATCCCTCGTCAAATCCAAGATCTTTTTGGAGTCTTCCAAAGAGATTCCAAAATCCCGGAGTTTTTCCTTACAGTTTTCTCCTGACCATTCCCAGTTATCACAAGACTCTTGCGCAAGCACAACAGAGTTGGGCATTGAAAAAATATCTGGAACGCTGTTTCCTACTCCTCACAGAATGTTTTTACACAAAAGCCTCTTTGGGATTCCCAATTCTGTTGTAGTGACAACTGAAAATTGCAAACCAATCCTGATGATTAGATTCATACAGTTAAAATTTTTTGAATAATTTTTAATTTCCTTAATCCGGCTTCTACAAGCCACAAGTAGCAGATGTAGTATAGCAGCTGTGTTTAGAAACATTTCTTGGGCTTCCAAGCAAAAACTATTTAATAGATTATTAGCAGAGTTAATAACCGCAAATTTACCTTATGATAACGGTGTATCGTTCGTCTGATTGGTTCTCATCATTTCCATCAAGTAAAGCTTTTTGTGTGCTCAGAAGCTCATTTTCTTTGGTCAGATCGGGAGCGTTAATATTCTGCAAATAAAATAAATACTTACTAATACAACTAAACAAATACCAATCCCAAAGGTTGGGAATTTAGAAAAGTATTATTTACTATGTACTAGTAACAATATTACTAACATTTGTAGATTTTTTCAGCTCATAAAAATTATTGGTAAAAAAAACTTGATTTTTATTTTAAATAAACTCTAATAATGTGTGATAAATGTTGGATACCAGATACTGTATACTAAAATGAAAATATTTTTGAGTCCCGCTAGTCCAAACACGGGTAATCCGAACGTCCGCTTTGTCTGAACAAGTTCCATAAATTTATTTGTAAATGATTTACGCTAATCTAAAAATAGATATTACAAAATTAAAACTGATATTTAAAAAATTGTATTTCTTAATCCTAGTGTGTTAAATAAAATGCATAGTATATTCAACTGTTTTAGCCTATTATTCATATGCAGTTAGCTCCTTAATACTTTATTTGACACATCACAGATGATTAAATGAAAATCAAATGCAAACAGAACGAATATATATCAATCAATGAAGATGAGACAACGCTTGCCCTGACCACAGTCTTCATCTACACATCTGTCTGCAGTGTGCTATGTCACAATAGATTTCATTAGCCAGGGACTGATGACGACATAATGCTTAGTTGCCTGTGATTAAATGATCAGTAAATAAATAAATCAATTAATTAAATGACCTTTATTTACAAGCAAGTTTCATGTATACATGATTTTCCAACTTACTCCTAAAGTCAAAAACTAAATCCAACCTAGCCTAATATTTACACCTTTAATATACAAAAATTACTATGAAAAACATGTACATTTACATTTGTTTTGCTTTATTGTGGCCCTGAATGAACCATAGGATTTGGAGTTCTTTATGTAATGAGGAAATTTACAAATTTACAAATTCATTATACAAAATTTGTTATACAAAATTCAGGCCGAAATAAGAAAATGACTTTCTTCCAATCTCAAGCCTCAGTTTAGGAAAGTGAAGCCTGCGGTCGGAACAAGTACTATGCAGACAGATCTCCTCCCTGAAGTTGAGCCTCTTGCCACAGAAAACATACTACTATCACCCAGAATGCTCACCGCGTGTTAAACAGTGTTTAACACTGCTGCCATTGCTGCCAGCATAGCACTGCCATTGCTATGCTGGTGGCACTGCCTACGAATTGACAGGCAAAGCTCTCTCTGAGTACTTAACACTGTTTAACATGCGGTGAGCAATCTGGGGTAATAGTAATATGTTTTCTGTGCTCTCACTGAGGTACTAAGGCACTCACAGCTTGAGCACTTTGTGGACCAGGCAGCAGGTCAGCTTCCTGCATATGTCATCCATTGGGTTGAGCTTTGCAGCATCTCAAAAGGTCAAAGCAATTAAGGCCAAAAATTAACCTTAAGGCAGGATTTTAAATTCTTTGAACTCTTGCCATATCCTCCTAGATGCTGTTTCCATATGCAGAAAAGCAATATATAAAGGCTGGGAGGACCAAGGACTGCATGAGTTGCATTTTGGCACATTCTGGCAGTAGAGTTTTAAATCCAGTAACCATGGCGACTTTTGTAGCCTTTGATTGGGTGATAAATAAAGAGCCATGGTAACTTGTTGAATGTGTCGAGGACGAGAAACCAACCAAAGAAAAGAAGAATAAAGAGAAAAAATAACATGGTTTTATGTCTATTACATCTCTATCTTCTTTTACAAGTGTCGATTTTATCATTAAGTATGAGTTTAGAGTGTTTATGAGTTATCTAATATATGATACGTTTCCAATCACAATAAAATCAATGCTAGTTGAGTATTATTACTATCGACATGCCTCTGTTCTGAAATAGCAAATAGTTCCACTAGTCTATCACTAGAAGGAACTTACAGGAGCTATTTGGTTCTATAATGATTTATTGCTGTACAATGTCTGATACATCAGTAAACTGTGGTCTCCCTCCCCCCAATTAACCTGGATAATGGAGGTTCTACTGTATTTCAGCTAATCCGAACAATCGGGTGATCTGAACAGCATTCGGTCCCAATTAGTTCGAATTACCCAGACTTACATGTACCTGTTACATTTTTAAAACCCATTAACTTACACAGCACGATAGTTAGATAACTAAAAAAACATTATTATTACTTACCAGACATTTTTTCTCAAACAATGAATCATCTCCATTTTGGTTTGACACCATACTCTTACACACAGCATTAGTTTCTGTTTGGTCATTGTTTCTCACTTTTTGGTGATTATCTAAAACAAAAATGGAATAAACTTTAATACTTTTCAATTAAATTGATGTTATTTTCAGTTTTTAACAAAATAGGAAGTCTATGTAAGTATTTTGCTCCAATGAAGGTTTTTTTTCATAAAATGCTAATCTATGGTGAGTGGGTATGACGGTATTTTTTTTTGCATGTTATACCGGTGAGACTGCTCAATGTTCTATTTTAATGGATTATGAATTGCTTTTAAGACCGTGTCGTAAATATATTGCCCATATTAATTAATTATTAATATATTGACATTAATCCATACCAAGGAATATCGTATCTATAGTGCATGCATATAAATATCTACAATTCGTGACCTCCTAGTAGCTGGGCTACAGGACATCGCCACCCTCCCAGTCCTAATACTGTGTGAACTTGGTAACACAAATTGGTACACACAACAGTTGATAAACTTGGCAATACCTAAATTAAGTCACCTAACAAATGTAGACCTACTGTATTCCTTACAATTTTGGTAGGAATGGAACACAACGTTTGGTAGTGAAAGGAATTAAAATACCTCAACCAAAGCAAACCTGCAGACTAACTGAATTTATATTTGTCGTTAGCGACCAGTTCCATCAGTCACAATGCTCGGGCGACCACCCTTCACTTCGTCATGACTCATAAGCGTAAGTTCGGCCATTTTTAAATTGAATGCACCATTTTTGCACACGTCTTTCATTCATTCCCTTGTTTCCTTAAAATCCACTCACTTGGCGATAAATGTCTATCGGTTTTAAGTTTTCTGTCAGAAAAAACCGTTTCTGACTGCAACTCACAACTGGCGGGATTTTCAATCGAAGCGCACATCTTAAGTTGAAATTGTGAAAAAACGGGCAGGGCGAGGATGCTCCCGTTGTCACGACTGGATGCCAACTGAGTTGCCGAGTGCGCAAGCATTAAAATGTACGAGATCAGCACACCTAGCGGCGTCAGACCTAAAGGGTCCTTACTTTCTGAATAGCCCTCGTAAAATTAAATGTTTTTCCTAATTTCATTTATGTGGCTCTGATAAAAATCAGCGACTTTACAGTAACTTCCATGACTTCAGTAGCCAAGAAAAATTGTATTTTCTATTGAGTTGATTGATGCAATTTAAACTGTCAACTTGTTACTAAACAAATTATTGTAGCTCAGTTCTCAAGTATTTTACTACACTAGATTACCTGGGTTATCCGCTATCTCTCCATAGCAATAAGGGTAGGAGCTGTACTTGTGTTTACACAGTTTCTCTCCCACCTTGGTCCCACCGGTTGGGGAGTCAACGTCCCTCATCACTCTCACCTTCGGCATCAACTGAACCCAATTAATATATTATCATATGACCTTTGACATCAACTACACACAATCAATATATAGTCTAACCTCATGTATAACAAATCTTAAGGGACTGAACTAAATATTGTATCAAGCTACTGCTCGTTGTAGGCTGATAGGCTACCGATACATTCTGTATTACAACAGAAGAATGGCGATAATAATAATCAACTAACATAGGTGTTTCCATATTTGAAAACTGTACAACGACCTCCCCTCTGGTCTAAAAAAATATGCCCTGCCATCTTTTGGAGCCCAAATTAAGGAATTATACTATTAATTATATGATTAGTTGTTATTTAGATTTTCTTGTTTCTGTTTTGTTATTGCTTATATTTATTTGTTTGTTAGTTAAGTTATTGTTACTTATAATATGACGAGAGTTCTTCTGAAAAGCAGTTGTACTGAGAAATGCTTGATCAATAAAGGCATTTTTATTTATTTATTTATTATTAAAACAATAAAAACATTATATAAGTCATAAATAAAAGTAAAATCATACTTAAAGATAATAAAAACACGAGCAAAAAGAATATAAAGAAAACAAATTATGTTATTCCTTCTCTTTGTTCTTGAGCTGGGTTTTCCTAGGCGCGGAAGCGGAGAGCGGAGAGAGGAACGCGGAGAGCGGAATTGAAATTAACATGGCATTCCGCTCCGCTTCTAGGAAAACAGTAACATTAAGTTGCCTAAGACAAGTGGAGTCCGCTCTCCGCGTTCCTCTCTCCGCTCGCCGACTCCGCGCCTAGGTAAACCCGGCTTTAGGTTACTCTTCATCCACAAATTCAACAAGTACTCATGGTTACTTATCACCCAATCTCAGTATACTAAGTTATTATGTCATCAGCATTATGTCATCATCAGTCCCCAACTGATGAAATCTATTATGCCAACAAGAGTAGAAGAAGGAAATCAACAACAAAATCTGACAGTGGCGGCGCTTTACCTTTACAGTAGGGTGGGATATTGCGGGGTGGGATCATTCCGGGGGGTTTTATAGCGGGAGGGGGGAACATTTTTTGAAAATTTTGAAATTAATTAGATGGGTTTTTATTATTTGAGACACTTGATTAGAAGTTGCGTTGGTTAAAAAATAATATGTTATTTTCCACTATTAATTATTTTTTACTATTTAAATCATGGCAAGAACTGCATTTTTTAATAATAACTTACAATTCTGAATATTGCAGTACCGTTGAAGTAGGCATAACTCCATTTGAATACCACGAACACAAACACGCTTCACAATAATCAACATCATGCCTTTAAATTTATGATCACTAAAACCGTAATATGGCTACTAAATCTGTACGAATAATATTACAAAACTCACTAAAAGTGTTAACTTATTATTGTATTTCATAAAATATTACAACTACAGCCCGTTTGGCGTTTGCTTTCGTGGTGTACAACATACACTGAGAGATGTAAAAAAACAAAGCTATATACACTAGCGCTCAGCACTCCCAGCGAGAATATTGAGAATCAACTCCAGTGAGCCAGCTCAAATCGGCCCATCCTGCACCATATATCAATGCATTGTTCCCTGATAGTCAAGCGCCGCCGGCTGGCGTTGTCTTGTCCATTACGTTCTTATGGGTTGCTAGAAGAGCCAGAAATCCGTGGCCCTCCAATGTGATAATTGTATTGTATTTCAACAAAAGTTATGACCCGTTGAAAGTTTAAAATTGATTTATATGCAATTTATTGAATAATATCAACCAAATAACCCTTAAAAAGTATTTAAAAATATACTTTGCTGTTTATTTTGGCTGGGCCCGGCCCACTTGGCCCTTATGGAAGCACCGCCACTGCTGACAGTAAATGTTATTTTTAATCACAGTGCATTATGATTGGCACTAAGGTCACTGTGGTACCTGGAGGTTACAGAAAGCAACACAATTCGTGAGAAGTTTTAGTGTACCTAAAAAAGAACAGTTTTACTGTAAATCAGTCATCACGTCTTGGAAAATATCTCACCTGAGTTTTTCTTTGCTTCTTTTTTCTGCATTCAGCAACCATAGTAAGACATTTCTCAGTAAAATAGAAGAAGACAACACCAAGCATGGCTACCAACCCACGCCATATGTTGGCGTCATGGTCATCCATATGGGACTCTACGTCCAGCTGGCCCATGTGTACAGTGGTATGATGGCTGTGGGTCGCCATCATAGCCTGTAATCATGGTTGCAATTAGGGGTGTGCGAGTACTCAAACCTTCAAGCTTTTTGGTTGAGCTTTCCACTATTCGACTAGGCTCCGGAAATTTTTAAAAAACTAGAAGTTTGAGCCAAGCTTTTAATACTAAGTAAAAAAATATATAGACGAGTAAATAAGACCATTTTTTTATATTCTCCATAACAATAGAATGGGAGATTTGAATTTTCACTGTAACCAATAACTATACAAAAACACTTTGATATACTAAATAATTTGTTTTTAGCAAATTTCCCATATAGGGAATAAGCTGTTAACATAAGTACCATGGTAAGACCTAGACCCAGGACCGATTTACTTCTTTGTTTTGAGGTCCTCAGAGGCCAAAAACACATATATATATATATAGGGTGTCCGGTCATAAGTGTTAAATAAAATTATCTGTCAAACTATATCATAATGGTGATTGAATGATGCCTATTTGAGGTTATCAAACAGTAAGAGAATAAGAGATAAAATCAGATTTTTTAAAATAATGTAGTAATTATGAAAACCCCTATATTACTATGTGAGAAAAGCATGTATTGTTAAATAAAGGTCATTTTTTAAATTCCAACAAAATTTACAATAAGAATAATACATAAACATTGGGGTATTGAATGAGATTCTACGTAAGTTTCATTGTAAAATTCAACATTTTTAACAAAGAAAAAAACTTAATAAATATTCAAATATTTTTTTCTTTGTTTTGGAGTTCCAATAAAGTCAAGTATTATCAAAAACTTTCTCTTCAGATTAGCTTTAAAATGATGTATTATGTATTATTACTGTGTAAAGTATTCATGGACCTATAGAGACTTAAACGCTATTAACCAAAGAAAATAAACCAACAAGAACAAACCGTCTAGATATTCTACTTACATGGGGCAAGAGATGGAGCAGTGCGTCCCCGCAAAGAGTTCCCACCGCAAGAGCCACTAGGAACTGAAGCAGCTGATGATAAAACACGAGCTGCATCACCGGTATAACAGCAACACCCAGCAGGCCACACAAACTTATAATGATGATGCTTAGGGTGGAGTACAACCAAACTGGAACATAATACCTTATGTTATTTGATTATTGCAGACATTTTCACAACATTTTGGGATCTGAAATCTGATCCCATGATTAGGTGAGGAACCCCAAAATTAGATTAGTACACAAGCCCAGTCAGATCTCCAATGAAGTTAAAACTCATAGGTCTGGGGGTGGGTGTCTTGCTATTCTAATGGTAAGTGCAAGGGGGATAGATTCTATTCCTGGCATATCCGCAAACATTTTGTTGGATTTTAACAACTTTGCCATACAAGTTTTTGAGCTTTCTTTAAAAATGCTACTGGCATAAAGCTGACAAAATTAAGGTTGAAAATTACAAGAAAAAAACCACACCGATAACTGCATACTAGTTAAAAAATCCTGAAAGAAAACAACAATTGAATAAGAACTATTTCTTTTTTGGGCCTTGGTTTACCCAGCCACTTTTAGGAAGCCAAAAACAAAATGTGTTTGTCAGATACTCAGTTTAAATCACTAGTCTACAACACTTGAGCGATTTATCATTTATTTGTTTGTTTGCATTTTACTGTGTCACTACCACACTCTTACCACACTACCACATACATATTAGTGTGTCTTACCACACTACTTTGTGTATTACTGTGTTAATACGCTCACACACATACATATATAATGTTCTATTTGTTTTAAAATATCAATTAATATGGTTTTTATTAAATTATTTGTTGGTTTTTAAACGAGCTGAACTTGAATAAGTGTTCACTAAATAGGAACTGTATGTTACAGTATAGCCTTTTTTATGTTCTATCACAGGAAGGAGCCACTGCCAATGAAACAGATTGTTTGAAAAAACATTGTTTTGTGCGTTTTGTTATCATCTATATGAGCTGTAAAAATGAATTGTGGAAAATAAAGCACATTTTTCTTTCTTTCTTTCTTAAACTTGAAAGGGAATGTTTTTGAAGATGGCTCCACGTAGGAATTGAAACTAGTTGCATCTGCATTTGTATAGATTGCCTAATAGCAGGTATTTAAATTTAGTTTTAAGCGAATTACCACTAGATTATAAGCCTCGTTCACACGGTGCGAGTTTACAAGCTACTCGCCAGCGTGTAAGAAGCCGGCGAGTTGGCGAGTGTGCTTGTATTCGTTCACACGATGCTTTTTCCACTCGCTCAGTCGCTGGCTTGAACCAAATCCTCCAACATCTTTGAGTAACAAGCGCACAAGCACAAGCAACTGTGTTCACACTGGGCTACTTTACACGCCTACTCGCTCAAAAGCTGGCGAGTTGGCGTGTAAAGTAGCGGCAGCGTCAAATTTTTCCAGAGCTTTTTTACAAGCAGCTTTTGAGCGAGTACGTCGTTCACACTGGCCTATTTTACTAGCTGCGTGTAAAAAAGCGGGCGTGTAGCTTGTAAACTCGCCCCGTGTGAACGGGGCTATACTGAAGATATTTTAACCTGTTGATCTGTCGTCGGCAGGAAGGTCACCGGTTGAGTGATGTTGGCACACCTGGGGAGACATGTTGAGGGAGATTGGCATCAGTTGTGACAACAATACAGGGCAAACATCCCTGTACATGGAGGGTGTCAGGTGGATAGAACCACTGAGAAGACTAGTGCTGGAGATGCACTGCGGCAAAATTACAATTTCTATAGTAAAATCAAGGTATAGATTGTGTAAATTAGAGTGGCAAGCAGAATACGCATGTGCATAAAAACCCTTTTCCCAACACCGAACAAAACCTATGGTTTTAAAAAAGTGTTATGCAATGAACTAGAGAAAATATAGCCAAGATTTAGTGTAAGATAGTTCTAATTAAAATTGTAATTTGAAGACCATTTATGTATGAGTTGGAGGTATAAAGTTTTTAAAATTGATGAGTTTTAAATATAAAACTCATCAATTAAGTTTTTTTTTAAATATTTATTGTATATAAATATTTAAGTTAGGTAACGTAGCGCAGGTGTTGAATACGCCCCTTTTTTAAAGTTTCTCATTCACCTTTCTAACCTAGTAAAAACGTTGGACAACTGATTGAGAGAGAGAGAGAGAGAGAGAGAGAGAGAGAGAGAGAGAGAGAGAGAGAGAGAAAATTCTTTATTTATTACACACTGTTTTGCAGCAATAAATACAAAAAATAAAAATATCACATGGGTATTTTTGGGTATTATAATGACCTGTGCGTGATAGAGTCCTTAGCTGTCTGCTGTCAAAATAAAAGTTCTTCACACTTCACTTAATACACATAAAAAAAAGAACTAACAATAACTTGGTAAAATAACACTATACAATTAATACTATAACAGTTATAAAATAACCTAAAAAACCATATGCAACGTGCAATCAATAACAAGGGGTGCACATTGTTTGCAATACATCCGATTAAAGCATAACTTTTTTCTTTCAAACCAAATTTTTTACTGAGGCGTGGATTCCGTCAAGTAAAAGTGCTGTGGAAGGTACAATAGATAGTCCAGTTATCAGATGGTTAGGTCTAAACGAGATATTCTGGGCTGATAAGCGACTCTGTATTGTCAAGGCCTATCTCCATCAGCCAATTAGCGATAACCCTCTTATATACACTCAGTGACACTCACAGGTCCCTAATTTCTGGAGGAATATTACGCAACAAGCAATTAGCAATGTAAAAGGAATTTGTTAAATTGATTGATTTGAGAACTCTTGGGACCCGTAATCCTATCATCACTGAGTTTCTGGTATGATAGTTATGAACTACTGGCGAGGCGATAAGGTCTAAATGAATGTATGAATAAGCTAATAAATCTTTAACATATAGCTGCCTTATTGATAAAAACTGGGATTCTTTGAACAGATTGATCAGTAGAATAACGTCTCGGTTTTCTTAACGCAGCTCTAATTATTGATTTTTGAATTACGAACAAAGGTTCAATTACTGATGAATAAGCCCCTCCCCAAGCTATTAAACCATACTGCAGATGAGATTGAACGTAGGCGTAATAAATTCTTTTAATTTCTTCATGTCGTAAAATTTGACCTAATTGGTAAAAAACATAAATCATTTTTCTAAGTTTTGTTTTAAAAAATGTATATGACTTTCCCATTTCAATTTAGAATCCAATATAATGCCCAGGTATTTATACTGCAACACAGTTTCAATAATTTGGCAGTTGCAATCGCTGCCTGCGGTGCCACATGAGTGCAAGGTTAGTCTGAGTTCGGCGGGCGGCTCGCTAATTGTGTCAAATAATATTGTGTGGATTGTGTCAAACCAAGACCCTAGGTCCTACACTACATGCCGGAGTCAAGCCGCGGTGACGTCACACAAGTCGCCGAACCTCAGCGCTACCAATACACGGGGATAACGCGGGGTTTGGTATCACGCTTCAATAAAACTGCCCCTGATCGTCAAAATAAATTAGTAATATATATGTATTATATATCATTGTAATCTGCATAACCTTAAAATTGCATTGGTTGCACTTATGGATCTCCAATGATAAACATAAATTTTAAAATCTGACAGTAAAATACTTTAGAACATTGTACGGATGATATTTGTACAATAACTGTTTGCTTTTCATATTTTATTGATAAAATAAATTGTATCATAGTTTTAATGTCTCTATTCTCTATGTTATTTTATGATATAAAATAGTTTTTTATCTTGTATGATAAATAGCTTATGTTGGAATAGTTAACATTGTACCGAGGTAAAATAAATATTCAATTTTCTTTTTGAAATGACCAAAACAAAATTATATTTTTAATCATTGGTAAGACAGAACAAATAATAGAGTAGAGTATTTTGGTTTGTAGGTTGGTAGTTCTTGATGATAAGCAGCTCAAGTTTTTGTCAGATAAGTTTACTGGAAATTGTGGTCTGGAAACAAGTGGTTGCTGTAGATATTGTAAGTAAATTTAATATTGCTTTATAGTAAGATTTCAGAGAATTTATTGTATGTAGCACTTTTAGTAATCATTTTTGGATTGTTAAGTAAAGTATAATTTTCAAATAATTTGTTATGTGTTTTAACAAGAGTAGAAAAATTGCCAAGTTCAGACTAACCTGTAGATTTTTGTTCTTGAGAAGCACATTTCACGAAGCGTTGTAAGGATCTTAAATCCACTTTTCATTATTAGAACTTGTAGAGAATAGTATTTATCGCATTTGTTTGGTGTTTTCAGAAATCAACCACTGTAACCTTTTGGTACTTTTTGGAAGTTAGAGACCACTTATGCCAGTAGCTGAGATTAAAGTAAGATCTGTCCAACTTTATTATTTTAATATAAAGTATGGCAATAATAAGAACTAATTATATTTTATTTATGAAAGAGAGTTTTGTATCAATTTTGGAGATTAGAAGAATTATATATATTTTAGCCTATTTTGACTTATTTGATTTATCTCTCACATCTACTACCAGCTTAATAGGGTTTGTTTCAAAGTTAAAGCATACTACCTAATTGGCAATCACTGTAGGGGAATAACATTTAACTATTTAGTTTATCTTAAAATTTTTATTTATCTTTAAGGAACTACAAATTAAGTATAGCTCAATGTTTTATTATATTAACAGATTTTATTAGATCTCATAAATTTCAATCCAAACAGCAATACCAATAGTAGATGATAACACATCAATAAATAACTACCAAAAGTCTACTTAAATATATATATTTCTCTTTCGAAATGCCTTTTTAATTCAATTGTGAACAGGAAACAGGATTAAATTTATCCCTTTTCCTTTCCAATGGTTTTTTATTATTTTTTATTGTCCTTTCCTTTTTTGTCTTATGCCCTTTGAATTTTTCATGACAAGATTTAGAATAACTGTTTAGTAAGATACGACAAAAAAATTACAGACATTATTCCAAGAGATTCGCAAAATTTTTCCACAACATAGAAAAATGTTGTTTTTTTATATAAAAGCCCTTCTTCGGTGTTTTAAGACTAACTTATTATTACTGCATTTAAAAAACTCTGTTTCGTATCTCTCAGAGATAATAAACTTAAGAGTGTTTGGTTGAAAATTTGATCTAGGATTTTTTGTTATTGTTTAATTAGAGATACAATAAAAATTACATTACAAATAAAAATTAGAAATACAAATATATAAGAAATATTTTTTATGTTGATTATTAAGGGAGATATGGAGCTAGAGAGTATTAAATTTGTCATATTTTGATACCAATTCACAGGGGGATGGGTAATGCGATTTTCACCAAAAATGGCATTCAGGCGTGGAAAAATAATATAATAATCGCTAGCTATTTAAAATGGTAATTAAAATTCTTATTATAAAATTAAAAAAAAACCACATAAAAAAACGTAGACATAAATACGTCAGATAAATCTGACACAATTATTCCTTCTGAGAATAATTGTGTTTGCATCATGAGACAACACGATGACGATATGATTGACTACAGACACGAATAAATAAAGAAGGTTCATCATACAACAAAACAAACAACACAGAGCACGTGGACATGGTGACACACAACGTTGTGTTTTATGGCAAGACGGGCTCAGTTCGGCGACTTGTGTGACGTAGCGCCCAAAGTGGAGGGGGTAGCTCCAGTCTGTAGTGTAGTGGGGTCTTGGTCAAACTGTCAGGTGTTCAGTCAAATTAAAAAAAAACAACTGTATTATCATATAACTATTGCTAAAAATTGCTACAGCCAACATAACAATAACTACAACTAAAAGGACATTTACTAGACTTGGAATAGATTAAATCAACTGTATTTTTTGTTTTAAAAATGTATAGTGTACAAAATACAGTGCAATGACTCCAAACATTCATAAGTGCTTTCAGTGATAGTTTTAAAAATTAACTAAAATTGCTCTAATATTTTTATGATTTGCAAAACTCTTAATCTTCTTAATAGTAATAACCAATTTTTTTTTTCAAAAAGTGTATGAATGATAGAATATGTTTACAAAAAGATGTGTTCTGTAGATGGGTCTGACACATTGATTACTAATAAGCAATGAATGTGGTATTGTTTGGACAGTTATAGGGTGAAACAACTTTTTTCTATTTAAGAATAAAGTTAACTTTAAACCAAGTACTTACCTGAGGTAATCTAGCATCTTCATGGATATGTGGTACATTTTGGGTTATGTTGTGAGCTGTGGAAAATATATTACTTTAATAAAGCTATTAATGTTCTATGTATAAAGTACTAGCACAACTTATCTTGGTTGATTGACAATACCAATCAAGGCTCCAATAAAGGCATTTTTTACTTAAAGCTCACAACAATTTGAAGTAAAAAGCTAATGTTTCATCTAAAAAAAAAATAAAATACCCCTGCTGCAGCAAAACTGCAGACTAAAGGAATTACAATTTGTCTGATTGAATCTTTACTACAATATTTCCATAAACAAGTCATATTTATTCCATATTTAAAAACATTATATTAACCTAGTAGTTAGCTTTTCATATACGGGGAAGGGAAAAAGTAGTTTTTGATGAAATGTTAATAGTATAGGATGAAATAAATAAATTTGTTGACTTTGATCAAGTTGAATAACCAGTTCATTTCCTGTAAATCATAATTAAATTGAAATTTGGTTCAGTTGTAATCCGTAATGAAGAAAATGTGTGAGCAGAGAGTAGCGGGCAAAGTAAAATGTAGAGAAATCAGCAGTTATGTAAACAAATTCAAGTCAACAAAATGCCACTTTGTACAGCATATGGCCTGTAGACAAAATATATTTTTAGACATGTGATACTGAATATTGACATAACTAAAATTTAAACCTTTTACCTTAAAAAGTTTGTTTCTAACATGGCTCCCATCATATAGTTTTTTTTTTAACAATCAGCTGTTACAGAAGTATACATTTATTTATTTTGTTCTAGTCAGCAATCTCTAAGTAATAGGTAGGTCTAAGATTGATGTATCAAACTTTTTAAGTAAATCTAAATAAAAATTTAGACGATTTTGTGTTTTGGCTAGTTTTTAAATATAAAAGAAATACCTTAATCTTTCATGTAGTATTTGAATGCAGTAATTAAATAGTCAAAACAACACCGCAACAACATATTGATATACTGGGTCCATTCAATAAGTATTGGGACCGGCTCACTGTAGCCTCAACAGAGTGGTGGAGGAGGGTCTGATCTGTCGGGCTTGGTAGAGAGGGGTTACCCACCAGCACTTTGGTTCAGTCCCCTGCAGGCATTCGTTAAATACAAGAGATTTTTGTGGCGGGTGTTTTAATTTTTCATTGTCTCGTCATGCCAATATGGAGCATACCGTTGAGCAACACTACGCTTTGAAGTTTTGCTTTAAACTCGGAAAATCCGCTTTGGAGACCCTTGCCCTCATTAAACAGGCTTATGGGGTTGATGCCTAAAGCTGCACAAGAGTTTTTGAATGGCACAACAAGTTTAAGGAAGGCCGGAAACTAGTTAAGACAAGCACCCCGTCGAACACCCGACGACCGCTTGAACTAAGGCTCAGGTGGCCAAAGTGAAAGACGTTTAGAACTCTGACAGGCGTTTAACCATCACTCACATCAGTGAAAAGACCAGGATTTCAGAGAGGACCGTCCACACTATCGTAACGGAGGATTTGGTGATGAAAAAGGTTGTGTGAAACTGGTTCCAAAAGCCCTGAGTGAGGGACAAAAACTGACGAGGGTGGAAATTTCACAAGAAATCTTGGACTGCCTGGAGGAAAATAAAAATTGTCTGGACATCCCTAACACCGATGAAACCCGAGTGTTCCAGTATGACCCGTAAACAAAACGTTTAAGTTCAGAATGGCACATGGATGAGTTTCCGAGTCCGGAGAAAGCTTGGATGTCCAAATCCAAAATCAAAACCATCCAAATTTTTTTTCATTGATGTGGCATAGTTCACAAGGAATTTGTGCCTACTGGAACTGGTACCAACACGCATGCGAAATCGCATAACTCGTGTACAACCAGCCATCGTGAAGAATTGGCAACTTCACCATGACAACACGCTGTGCCAAAGTGAGATTGTTGTGTGCCAGCTACTGGCAAAATTCAGCATTGCCACATTACCTCACCCCCCCCCCCCCCCCAATTTACAGCCCAGATCTGGCTCCACCTGACTACTTTTATTTCCACAAGTAAAAAGGCAACTGAAAGGTCAGCGGTTTGACTCCATCGAGGCGGTTCAAGCCGAGACAACTGCGGCTCTCAATAGCATTCCGGACCGACTTTCAGCGGGCTTTTGACGAGGGGCAGACACGCCGAACTAAATGTATCGAAGCAGGAGGAATGTATTTTGAGTATTAGGTAATTGTAATGATAACTATAAATTTGGATCAAATATATTTTGATTTTTCTAACCAGTCCCAGGCCGATACTTATTGAATAAAACCTGTAACTCTTTAGCAGCTGCACCTCAATTATATAAACAATAAATAAAAAAACAGCTGATGTCCTCGAAAGCTGTTAATTATTGTTGGCCCTACTCTTAGTTTTGGACCAAGACTTTCGGTCAAGTACATCAAAAGTATAAAATAAAACTTGAATTTTAGTTTGTAATAACACATAACACACCTCTACTGCAATGTCAAGAATACACAGCAAATTTAGAAATTTCTAAATTTATCTATAGCAGAAGTTTTTAAAACATAACCAAAGAAGGCAAAACTTACTTGAGTTTTTTACATGGCTGTTGGAAGGGCTAAGATTCTGAGGAAGGATTAGGTTTTCTAGTTTAATTTCTCTCAGCAACTTCTCAAAGCCTTGTAGTGAAATAATCTCTCCATCTCCGTATTTTTCAAATACTTTATGAATAAAATCTGCTTTATTATCTGTCCAAATAGGCTTCTTATTAGCACCACCAAGTCTGAAAGCATTGTTGATAATTCCAAAGAAATCCACCAGAGGCAATAAATACATTTACACCTGACACCAATAGAAAAGCTGATACTTTTTGATTTAAGTAGCCATATTTTAGACAATTATTCTTTACTGAAAGCAAATAAACACATTGTTACAAAGAGGCATTAATTGACGGATTTAAAGAAATAAAAACTTACAAGAGTGTTCACAATTGTTCCTATAAATTAGTGATATCAGTCAATATTGAAAGTGATTAGGGTTTATATTAAATAGGGTTAGGTTAAGCATTTTAACCTCACCCTGTCCATTGCAAGTAAAATCATCAGGTTGTGCAGTCTAGTTCAATCATTTAAACAAAACTTGAAGGGGATGTCAAGCAGTGATTCTGGCAGCAACGGGCGAGTAATTGTGTACCAGCCATTGACACCCCTTGTATTTATACCCCTGCCTACTTTTTTTGACACTTCTCCTCTACAAGAACTTAGCTTACTTCAACATTTAACATATCAAAAATATGGTCCTGATGTTTAAATTTTTAAATACATATATACAGGGTTATTACAAATGATGTTCCTGATTTTGATTATAAATATTACTGGGTTAATTTGTTTCAAGACTATTTTAGTTGGTACCATTGGAAAGAAAAACTCATAGAGTTTCATTTACATTGGTTTGGGTGCATATCAGCTGTTTGTCAAGTCAATTGTTGTAAGTGTTGTGTAATGGCTGAATTTAAAGGCAGGAAAGCTTTTTACCAGTTGGAATATTACATTAACCAATCTGTTATTAGTGTGCAACGACACTTTAGAACCAGGTTTAACGATGATCCTCCTAGTAACCACTATATTGGCAAGTGACACTTGAAATTTAAGAGAAATGGCTGCATTTGAATGTTACTTGTAGTAGGGCTGAACTTAACAATGTGATGCCTGAGATATGGAATGAGCTCGGTGGTCCGAATAATGACACACCCCTGAACTGGCCTACAAGATCTCCGGACATCACCCCCTGTATTTTTTTCTTGTGGGGATACATCAAAGATAAGGCGTACACACCACCATTATCAGATAGGATACTTGAGATCCAGCAACGGATTACCAATGCTAAATAGACCTAGACACACTTTTCAAAGTCTAGCAAGAGCTTGACTACATTATTGACATCTGTCGTACCACAAGGGGTTCCCGTATCGAGCATTTACAGTTCTGTGTATCTGTGTCGAAACTTTTTGAGTTTTTCAACAGTTGTAACCATTTTATTTCTTTGTATAACAAATAAAACTATATTTTATGTATGTATGAAATCGTGAACATCATTTGTAATAACCCTGTATATTGCAAGAAAGGGGATTAACCCTATCCCCCTGATCATCAGGATTTTGTATTGCCACTTAAAAAAGGTGAGCCAAATCAGGATTAAAGTTTCTTGTCCTGTTTTCAATTCAAAGGTTCACTTAGCTTAGAAGATTGCTATCAAAAGTCAACTGAATTTTATCACAAAGCAAGGAGTTAGGCAAGGAGATAACTTGAGCCCTCTTCTTTTTATTGTACTGCTGGACGAAATAATTTTATCTTATGAACCCCTACAGGAACACTGTAAACCCCTGTTCATTCAGCTACAAATTCCAACAGACATAAGTACCAAAAACTCGACCAAATAACAAAATTCTTATGACTGAATCCACATAAACCACTATCCAATGTTGTAAAAAGCTAGCGGCAAAAAAGATTTTGGACATAGCAAATAATATTTATTGCTGTTTAGAAGAAGGTTATACTTACTGATTATCATTGTGTGAGAAGCAATTAACATGTGCACAGCAGAAAAAACAGAATACACAGGCTACTGCAAATGGACCCCCCATGGCTACAGCTTTCCTGAAACATATCAGATAGCAAATATTGTACAGATGAAACTGTCACCTTTTCAGTCAAACATTAATATGTTGATAACAGGGATTGAAACAAAGAAATGTTGAGAAAACTTGTCTCAAGATTTGTGATTTTACCAAAACACATAATGTTTATACTACTATTGTTATGTACTATTGTTTATACTACAGTGAAACCCCTGACTAACCGAAATAAAGGGGACAAAGCCACTTCGGACAAACTATTTTTCAGTTAATTAACAGTAGGAATTTAAAGGCTATGTCAATTGAAAGAGCTATACATACAACAGTAATTTTTAAAGTTATTTTAATTGCTGTCATCATAAAATCTATACACCATCTAACACACCAAATCTATTTATTAAAATAATCAGCAGTTGTTGACCAAACTTTATCTATTTCACAGTATCAGATCCATGTCTGCTACATAGCATTCTGTTGGCTGAGCTCGTGCTATGGCAGACAATACCTGTTCCTTAGCTCATTTTCAATTGTTTACATTTTTCATGATGGTTTTGGTTTAAAAGCGTCCAGGGGTTTAACTGTATTTAAATCTAACTTGATTACTTTTTGGAAAAAAATTACAGGTAAATTTTAAAACCACCAGGTTAAAAAAATTAGCCTGACATGATTTGAACAATAGTACCATTAAGAAATCATACAAAATAAAAATTCCTAGTATTATATTTTTTACCCAAATATTTCCAAACAATAATGGTTTGCATTTTTTATATATTTGCATAAAACATAGCTAACATAGTAAAATGTGCAATTGTTGTCAAAACTAAGCCCACTATCCCAAAATCTAAGCACTGTGATCTATGTTAAATCGTTAACCTAAAACTATGTGAGTCCATCTAAGTTGTCTTGAAATGTTATAATTATGTTCAATAATTATTAAGGAAAGTGGGTTTAGCATGAATACCAACAATCCTGTAGGCTAAATCCATGAAATTTTACAGGACATTCCTAATTAAAAGAACTATGTTTTTATAGTTGTTGTACATTAGGGTTTTGATTATCCGACTTAGACCAGCCACAGCAAGATCAGATTAGCGGAGAGGTTTGGTAACATAGAATAAGATAAAATTCAAAGTTTTAAATGTATTAAAGCTCTTTAAGGTTATAACTTAGTATTCCATTGATTCCACAAAACTACTTCAGTTTCAATTGTTATAACTCACAAAATAAAGATAACAAACGTCAACTCAGTCATAAATTTCAATTTTGCACTAAGACTAAGATGTGAGAAGAAGCAAATTATTATTTAGGTATCAGGCAGTTAATGTGTGGTACAGTGTGTAAATAAAAAGAGAAGGTTCAGTCAAGGTGGACGTTAATTAACTAATGGGATAAATAATCAGGGCCGAATTTAGTATCTTGGCAAAGTATATTGTACTACAGTACAAAAGAAAAGGACATTTCTATGAATGCTATTGAAACCCAAAATACTTTTGGTAGATAAGTAGAAAATGCCAACCAATTGATAAATTATCTATAAAACCTCCATGTGAAGTAAAAAACACAGTAGGCCTACAAGAATTAGGTAAAAATGCACTCCATTTTGAGAAAAGACTTCTCAAGTTAAGTATCTCAAAGATTAGCATTAGTGATAAAAGCATATGACAGAGATAACTTAATAACATCTGACATCAATATGATTCATCAAAACTTATAGGCCTAGAAGTTAAATACCACATTGTGGGCCTAGGGGGCGTAAAGAACATGGAGGTTCCAAAGTAGGAATATGAGAAAACTAAAAAAAGTGAAAAAAATGAAAAAAACTGACGGTGAACGTTAACATGGCACTTTCAGAGTAAAAAATCTAAATTTTGATTACTTGACGAGGTAATTATACCATAATAGTAATCCATCCAGGGGCCATCAATGTGGAATTTAATTTTCTGTAGGCCTACACAAAATTATCTTTATTTACAATGGTTTTCAGCCACTTGAAACGACAAGATTGTTAACAAAATGCTTTATAGCCTATACAGTATTACCTCTTGAGCATGATAAAATGTTATTATGTTTTTAATTTATTTTATTTTGTATCTTAAGACTGTGTTTTATATATACTATCATGGAAATTGTACATTTGCAGACCTATATTTTATTTTTAAACCTCTTGAACAAAGAAACACCTCGAGCAATGCTTGATCCCCTGGTACTCAAGTATAATTCACTGAGAAATAAACATTTTTCTTATCAAATCTTGAGATCGGCTAAAGGTGAGTTGCGGCCTGACTAACGTACGAGTTGCTGCCCAAGTATTAACAGGTAAACCTACAGGAATGTAGATGTATATCAGTTCCTCTAGATTTTTCTTGCTGCCTGACAAAAAAAAGAAAAAATACTCTTTGGGACTGAAATGTGTTGCTAGTGAATATGCTTGTCTTAACTTTACCTGCTCCCCTAAAGAAGTGTTCATAGATTTTGAGTCTGCTATACATAGTGCAGTCGAGGAAGAATGGCCTAGTGCTTTAATTTGGGGTTGCCGTTTCCATCTGGGTCAGAGTTGGTGGAGAAGAATTCAGAAATTAGGGCTAACCTCTGAGTACAACTTAAAATCCCGATTTTTTTACTTATGAACAATGGAGTGCAAACCAAACTAACACAATAAACAGATTTCTTAAATTATGTACGATTATTTTATGTAACATTAAACCAACCATATCCTTGGTAGCAATTAACCTGTTTATACTCAGGCTGCAACTCTTACAAAACTTTCGTCATTTAGTAATTATTTTTAAATATAAATTATTTATAACAGGCAAATATATACCGTATTACATTCTATTAACACGTTCGCTACTGAGCGTCGCATATATGAGATGCCGCGGTCATTGCTACAGACCGAGGTATACATTTGAACCTTACACATAGACCGGCTGTCACTTGGATAACAGTACACACACCACGGGTGAAAACCTGTAAAACAGCGATCATTTACATTGTAATACGCTAAAATCGTGTTTGTAAATAATTTATTCTTGTTTTTCTGTATTTTTTATAACCTTTTGTAATGTCGCATATTTGCGACGCCCGGTCTACAGTGAAGACAATAGGCTAGTGAAAATTATCATAGTTTTCTTGAAATAGACCAATATGCGACAGTTCATTTTTTTGTGTTTTGAGGTAAAAATAACTAAAAAAAATATAGATTATTCAAGAACAGTTTATAACTGAACAAATATAAAAGCTACATAGGATAATGCAGCATATATACTGCATACATACATACATTGATTCAGAAAAGTAAAGACCATTTTTTACAACTATCATATGACGTCACCAATCATCATATCCACAGACCAAGCGACGCAGTTGTTCGTCAGACATCTCTGTAGACCACTGCAGGGAATTCAGTGCCTTCAAATAGACCGTTACAAAGATATATGCATTTTAATAACATTAGAACCCCGTGAGTCCATGTGAATGAAAAATTTCGTACTATTGCAGTAGCGAACATGTTAAACAGAATACAGTCAAAGAAATTAAGTCAACTATTGAGTTATAATGAAAATCATCTACACAAACAAAAAAACCAGATAAACAAATCAGGAAAACTTACAAGTTATTTGATTTATGTTGTTAGTTGAGTTCAATTAGCAGCCTTATCTTCTATTACATCTAATAGAAAAAAAATTAAGAAGTCAGAGACAATAGTAGCCTAATTATTTAAAAATCATGTACAGTAGAGTCCCTCAAACTTGGCGTAATGTGGACTGGAAGATGACGAGTTTGTGAAATGCCAGGTTATCAGAAACTAGGGATAAAAATAAGAACAATAAAATTTTTAAGCATTATAACCGTCTTTTTTTTTATATTTATATTACAGGTCAGTATTAAGTTGTCAGATATACACAACAAATCCTTGGTACGGTACGAGTTACAAATGATCTGACTTGAGCTGGTTTAAATCAATGTTTTACTCGGACTCAAAAAATCACTAATTTTCTGAACCAGGTGAAGACCGAGTTATCCAGACTGCTGGGTTATCGAGTGCCGAGTTTTTGGGAATCTACTGTATTGCTTAAAGGTCATAACTAAATAAGTTATCAAGGTAAAAACTACCAGAAAATGTTAGTATAAAAAGTCAATGAATATTTAAACCTTACCAGAGGAAAATCCTTAAATGAGAAGTTCTTCAGGTATTTACATTTGGCTGCACCACCTGCAAATGAATATTAACAAACCATCATACAGTGAAAACCATCAAAGCATCTAGGTACATTTTTTTACAGCAAAATAAACCTGAGCCTTTACTAAAGCATAACAAAGGACGATTACAACTAATAATTATTGTACCTTCTTTCCAGATTTAAAATAGGAATTTGTTGGAAAATTTGTTATAAAAACATCATAGGATTTTACATCCAAAGATCTAATTTTTATAGCCACATTTAAAAAAATATATAAAGCATATCAATTAAACACTTCTACATCTGTGATAGAGCTTTCCCATCAACATTCAAACCTAACCTCGAAAAAAACAATAGTGATGGAACTATGGAACCTTTTTCTTCACATTCTGTTTTATTAATAGAATTATTCAGTCCTAATGAATTCCTAAACAGTGCTAAGCCTGTGCAATATTCTTATTTGGTTATACTTGAATGTGTTAAATTTCAAAACTTTGTAGTCTGCAAAGCATGTGGTTCTGGTGAAATTGTTTAATCGGAAGACTCAGAAAGTAGAATGGGCTGTGCAGCAAAAATTACAATCCACTGCAATGAGTCTGAGGCAAAAAAGAGTTTCATGAGCAGTTCAAAAACTGTAAAAGGACATAAAGTATGACATAAAGCTTAGATTTGATTATGCGCTAAAATCGATCGGAAGAGGACTCGAGGACAGAAAAATTCTATGTAGGTATGTAGGTATGATCTACATACCTGGACCTCCAACTGATTTTATGAAGTACAACAGGGTAATAGAATCAGTCATAAAAAATATTGCTAATAACTGTATGATTTTTTGAGCTGAAGCTGTTCAAAAAGTTGAAGCAAAAACCGAGAGCACTGACCTAGCCGTTGTGGTGGACGGCAGTCGGCAAAAAAGGGTATTTTGCAGTCGGCAAAAAAGGGGATTTTACTTTCTAAATAGAGTTGTCACAGTAACAGCCATGGCTGCAAATTTGCAGGTAAAGATAGAGAAAAGATGGGAAACATAAAAGGGAGTATAACAGTCAGAAATTAGGACAAGAAATTTTAGGACATATATGCACACAGGACATTTGGTGACATATATGCGACCATAATATCACATTGTCTTTTATATTAGGCTATAGAGGTATAGAAGCAATGGTGGAATGGAGGTGGCTGGTGCAAAAACGCTTTATTGTCGCTCATTAAGCAGTCGAGGGATGAGCTTGGGCATGGGGATTTAAAGGGTTATGAAGGAGTGTGTGAAGCTTAGCCATATGGCCCTGATGTAATAATTGAAAAGGAAGAGTGTATTGGACACGTGAAGAAACAAATGGATGCCAATTTTATTGTTAGTTCTGCCCAGTGCACTGTAGAGGTCATGTTTTGTTTACAATTTGTTTCTTGTTATTTCAGTCATTTAAAACCTTGTTTAACCAAATAAAACAATTTACCATAAACAATAACTCGTCCCCTAGTTATATAACCAAACAGCAAAGCACCAATCATCAAATTAACCCTAAAATAATATAAACAAAATTTCGACGACACTAGCAATCAGTGTGACTAAACATGAACTAGACACACAACGAGCTTCAAAATTTACAATGGGATGAGAAGTCTACTTGTGTTGGTTAGTCTATGCCACAAATATACGATAAGAAAAGAAACAACAAAACAGAAAGGAGAGCAAAAGAGGATCACAAAAGAGAAAGGAAATTCCAAAGAATAGCTAAAATTAGGCAAGATGAAGCTGGAAAGCACAATGACTACAACCCTGGGATGTTTTAACTATGTACGTATCAGTTTACCCTCAATATCCTAATTAAGCTAGTAATATTGACTTTTAAGTCTGTTTCGCCAGAAATAACGTTTTTAATATAATAGCAGTTTGTCCTTTTTCTCAGGAACTATAATACCATAGACTAAGCAACACAAGTAGACTCCTCATCCCATTGTAAATTTTGAAGCTGGTTTTTGTGTCTAGTTCATGTACGTCCACACTGATCGCTGGGGTAGACAACATTTTGTTTCTATTGTTTTAGGGTTATTTTCATGATTTGTGCTTTACTATTTGGTTATATAACTAGGAGACCAGTTATTGTTTAAGATTAAATCGTTTTATTTAGTTAAATTATGTTTTAAATGACTGAAATAACAAGAAAAAAATTGTAAACAAAACATAACCTCTACAGTTGGACGTACAGAACAAACAATAAAATTAGCTTCAGCTGTTCCATAAGGATGACAAATCTACTAAGGGAGTATGATTTATCTATGATAATACTATAATAAATGGTAGGAATAAATACTTGTCACAAAGAAGTTGGTTTTAAAACTAGCTGCCTACTAAAAATATATTTAGAGATTGTGTTTTGCATTTGATAATATTCTTACAAATAATAGATAGAAACACACAAAATATGTATTTCCTTATGGCAACAATCACTATTTGTTTAGAGTATGCTCACTCGCATCACTATCAACAATAAACCTTATCATTGTTCTATTCAAATTGTTCAGAAACACAGGTCATATCTATTTTGACCCACTTTCATTTAATTCCTTAATTTTCAATACCTTATGAGCTTCTTTTACAAGCAGTTTAGAGACTTCATTCATTAATTCATTATTATTAGATACTGTAGGTACATGATGAAATGTTTTCCATCGTCAGGCTGTGTTTAAACTTATATCGGAGATATTGGCAATTAAAAATGAATTGTATAACTAAATTTAAATGTTCAAAAAGGCCAATATATATAATAATTTGTTTTATTCACAAGCGCTTTCGGAAACTAGGTTTCCATCGTCAGGCTGCATTTAAACTGGTACAAAAAGTATATTATAATATTGATTTATTATTAAGTAAATATTTACTTTTTGTACCAGTTTAAATGCAGCCTGACGATGGAAACCTAGTTTCCGAAAGCGCTTGTGAATAAAACAAATTATTATATATATTGGCCTTTTTGAACATTTAAATTTAGTTATACAATTCATTTTTAATTGCCAATATCTCCGATATAAGTTATTAGGTACATGATCAAATATAGATAAGTTCAATTAACAATTAAGTAACTTATTTCAACATATGTTTCGAAATAACCTTAAGTAATTAAACCAAATAAAATGTGAGTTTTGGTCTTAGGCTATAACTGAAATAACATTTATTAGAGTGAAGGAACATGTGACCTTAGGCCCTACATAATTGCCCAATTGATCTCAGTTCAACGATTCTAAATTGATAAGTCTTTTATATTAGGCTAACTTATAGGGATCGGTAATAACAGTAGGCTCATAAACTGTTACAAGTGGAATAAATAAAAGTTTTTCAAGGAAAACATCTATACTAGGTCCAACTATTAATTTGTTTATGTTTCTGGATTTTAAATAGGCTACTAGTCAAAATTGAAGTCACGTTCTAAGCTTCTTTTAAACTTTGGTTTTAATGTCCATTCATAATATGAAATACATAAAATAGCGAAAACCACTCTTAAACACTGGGTTGACCTTAATGTATGGTAGGTATTTTGCTGCACTGCAACCACAAATACTAGGCTTAGGGCTACTTTTCTGAAGTCCCAAAATACTTTTGATATATAAGTAAAAAATTTCAACTAATGGATAAATTATATATCAAACCTCCATGTGAAGTATAAAAAACAGTACAAGAATTATGTAAAAATGCACTCCATTTTGAGAAAAGTCTTCTCAAGTTAAGTATCTCAAAGATTAGCATTAGTAATAAAAGCATATGACAGAGATAACTTAATAGGCTTAGAAGTTAAATATCACATTGTGGGCCTAGGGGGCAAAAAGAATTTGGAGGTTCCAAAGTAGGAATACGAGAAAACTAAAAAAAAAGTTGGAATATAGGGTGGAAAAATGTTAAAATCAAAATTGCAGGATTCCATATAGGCCTATTGTTTGTCAACTGTGCTTGTCGAGTGCTTGGAAAAAGCATATGATACTCTACATCACTATCCCATGCGGCATTGATACTGTGAACCCAAAATCTTCTCTTATTCCTTAAAACTTTATAATCCTCTTCTGCAGCTAGTGCCAATGGTAATAGCAATTTCTTCGTCACTTCTACTGCTGGAACTCATATCACACTAACGGAAACCCCAACTTAAATCATTTAATTGCGAACAATAACAGTTTCTGTCGTCCACTGGCTTTTGGTGCTCAAAAACGACTGAACTGAGCGGACCCAACTGACATAGTGTGAGGGAAAACTGCCGGAACTGAGCTTAGCTGAACAGAGCCAGTATGATATGCATAAAAAAGTGTGTTAGGTAGGTAAATTAAAAATGAGGGAATGTCTACTGAAGACATATATGCGACGGAAGTCTATGGGTAGAAAACGGCCATCGCATATGTGCGTCGCTGGTCCATGTGAATGAAAAATTTTGTACTAACTTATTGCAGTAGCGAACGTGTTAAGAGACATTTTTTTACCGGAGACCAAAATGACTAGGTACATCAATTGGATATAACATGCATTATTTGACTTACTGTCCAAATTTGACATGACTGTGATTAGCCGTTTTTACTCCCAGAAGGCAGCAATGTCTGCGAGGATTGAGTTGAATGTGTCGCCGCCGCTAGCTGCCGCATTTACTCCGCCAAGTAGGTATTGTTAGGTTTGGTTATTATATATATGTTTGTCGGACTTTCCTCGTTTTGCTATGAATCGAACGATATCAGATGAATCATACTTCCGCCCGCCAAATACCCCAGATACATGTGGTGACAGGTAATTTGCACGCTCAAGACAACGACCTGACCTTGGCCTACTCGGAGGATTTTTCGTGCAAAAGTATGACTCATCTGGTATCGTTCAATTGATAACGAAATGAGGAAAGTCCTACAAACATATTTACGATAACGCAACCTAACATAACCGCCGCAGCACACTGTATAAGGGTGGCCTCGAGCCGGATAATACCAAAGTACCAAATATTTTATTAAGTTAAGGGGTAGGCCTACAGTTTCTTAACTGGGCTACGCTAATATTGATTGAAACTATCAATTCGATTAGTAAACCTTCATGCGACTTTTTCACCATCAGCAAGTTTGGTTGGTTAGGTTAAATTAGGTTATGATAGTTTAATTTTATAGGCTAATAGATATTTTCTAAAATAATGATTAGGCCTATTGATCGATATTTTCAATTCGATAATTTCAATCAATATTAGCGTAACCCAGTTAAGAATCTGTACCCAAGTTAAGTTATCTATTCGACTTCGGAAGCAAGACCTATCAGCATTAACTCAGGCTATGTTAAAATGAACCTACCGTAGGCCTATTTCTCAGTTGAACACAAATTAAGTTAAGTTAGGCCTAGGGCCTATTAAAAGTTTGAACAATCTAAACTTAGGATTCTAAATTAATAATTAGATATATAATACCTATCACCAATTGTGGGACAGAAGTCAATCTTGCCTTTACTTAGTCTTAGTTAGGCTAAGACTAATGTAAGATATAAACCTTAGCCTATTAGAAATGTTAAGCTAAACTTTAGATGGGCTTAGGCCTAGGCCTATAATTGTTCAGATGCCCCCCTATTAATAGATATCGCGTACACTAAGAAGTTGGGTAGTTAGAAAGTTTATGGATTCGTAAATCTAAAAACAATATCAATATCCCAATGCTTACACAGGCACGTAACTTTCGCCAATGGGAATAAATTTCAAATATAAACTAGGGTGCTGAATCGACAACATAACCAAAAACAGCCTCGACCAAATGTTAAGAAGACAGGGAATTCTCAAGATATCTTTCACTTGTGTTTCCTGCTCTAATAACAAAAATAACATTTGTCAACTAATGATTAAAATATATGAGTTATTCGAAGTAAAAAATGCATTTACCTGCTCCACAATCAAAACCCGATATGGTTGGTTAGTTAGCTATAGTAGGCTAGTTGTTCTTTCTAGGATAATAGGCATTCGGTTCGGTGTTTAGTGAGTGTTCTTAAAAAGGTACAAACAACAAACTAGCCAACAACTGGAACTGAACTGACCAATAAAAACGAACCAACCAGGGCAACCAGCGAGGCCGACAGCCGAATAGGGATCGAGTTCGAGTTCGAATTAAGGCTTAGGACTGGACTAGACTGGACTAGGTGGAGTTGGAGAAATTGAAAATCATCAGAACGGGAACCAGAACCAGAGAACAGGATAACGATAACAGTAACAGTAGTAGTAGGCTATGTGGCTGTACGTGGCTGTACTCAATTTGGTCAGTGCAGTATATCAATTTTAATGTAATATGTGATCGTATACTTTCTCAATACATTTGGAAAATATTTATCTTTTATCTACTTCGTCGATTATTATTTATATAATCGATAGTTTTTTTTTTTGTCCTAGGACGCTAGTCACGAGCCCAGAATTGTTTTAGCGAATTTCCCATATAGGGAATAAGCTATTACCGTAGTACTCATGGTAAGACCTGGATCCGGGACCGATTTTTTTTGTTTTGAGGTCCCTAGAGGCCAAAAACACCATCCGTTCAAATTCATATATATATATCAAATGGATCCCCTTAATGCAACGGCGTTTTCCATTGAGCGGCAAGCATAGCGCTGCCAACTTACCCCGCGTCGCGTTCTGTCATCAACAGTAATGAAATCGCATAATGTTTGTAAATCATTGTAATACTGTAGATTGAACTTACTTCTTACTTCTTTGATGCGTGCTTCTAGCTTCAAGTGATGCCGACCGGACGGTGTCTCTCACATACAGTACATGGCTTGCCAATCTCCAACAGTTAGGCTCAGTCAGAATTATTTTGAGAGAACAGTCAGGTTGGAGTTTTCTCTTCAGTTCATCTCTCCCATCTGACTTGCTGGGACAATGTGTGGACAATATGTTCTTCTAGAGTCTCTTATTCCGATTGACAAACGAGACACAGGGGTGACTCTGTGAGGTTAAATCGAAAGAGATAGGATTGTGTAAGTTGTGTATTATTCCAGCTTCAAGAACGAATTATTAATAAACTAGTTTACCTTGTGGTTGCCAGATTGTTGAAATGTGTAGATATCTTGCTCGATGTACATTTCGATGTACAGTTAGAGAAAGCTCTAACATCGTAAACTCACCCCCATCCCCTGACCGAACCTCCCCAAACATACCTCCTCAAGCCAGTTGTCAGTCAAATAGTGACACATGTAGTGGCTCCGGTCCGCGCCGTGGTCCGCGCACGCGTTCGCGCGCTGGATTCCTATGACTTTACCGTAAATCGTCATCCGACCGAAAATGTAAATATTTGTAAATAGTGTTTGTGTTAAATAGACTAATGTGACAAACTGTGCTCCTGACGATGCTACACATGTAGCGAAATGTACATCGAGCAAGATATCTACACATTTCAAGAATCTGGCAACCACAAGGTAAACTAGGATTGTGTAATTATATGTCCTGTTCTTGCTCTTTAGGCAAACGATGCTACTGATCTGGAAAGGTTTTGTAAATTTCGATGTTGTTGGGTTCATTCAGGATACAATAAAGGTGGCGGCCAGTAGGTTCATTATTCCATCTCTTTACCCACCTGTGTCTCAGAGTGTTATGAACTGTTGCTATGCAACTGGAGAGAGTTGGTTGCTTAGGTGGTATATATTTTTAGGTAATGAAATATTTTTGCCTGAAGCTGAATTCAGGAGATGGAATATTTCTTGTATTCTATGATAATAATTTGAAGACTTATATTGTTTTAGAAGCTGTAGTGCGCTTTTTGAATCACTGAGGATGCATATGTTCTCACTCTCCAAACTTATGCAGTGGGTAATTGCTGATGCGTTGATGGCAAGAAGCTCGTTTTCGGTGCTTGAGCATGAATTTTCTGGAACAAAAAAGAAGGCGTTTAGAGTGTTCTGCGAAATAGCTGGCTCCATATTTTGGTTTGGTGGAGTCCAAAGACCCATCTTTTAATGTTTGTGGTTTGTGTTTATGATTTCTATGGCCGCAACTCTTTGTGTTTCTGAGGATCTTTGGTGACGTGAATACTGGAAGATCTAGCTCAATTTTCGGAGGTCGAAAGCACCCAGATGGGATTCTGTTGACTGTTGGGTATGGCATTGGATAAATGTTTGGTGTATTTTCTACTATTAATGTTGTTTGGAAGGCAAAAGAGGACTTGTGATAAGTTTCTTGTGGGTTTAGTCTTGAGCTGGATTTGATGAGGGATCTGCAGAAATGCTGAGGGACTTGTGCCAGATTGCTTTTTGTATGCATGTTCTCACTCTCAAAACTTATGCAGTGGGTAATTGCTGCGTTTTGAGCAGCCTCTGAACCTCTGAAACCCCTATTTTCACCGTACCATGAACAATGGATTAGGTTGTTCATTGTTTTTTACCATGCACATTAATAATTCATTTTCCTCCTTTTCTCCAAGTAATATATTCGCTGTCAACAGTGCTTTTTCCATGACGGTCAGTAGTGCAATTTCAATTTCACTAGTCACTATAGTTGTGGGAGTCGCGGCATAGGAATTGAGACAAGTGACTCCAGCCGTACGGCTCTAGACGCGCGGCTAGGGTCGTAACAGTCACAGGATAGGAAATGGACCAACGACGAGCATAAAAGTGGACTTTGGACATCAAGCCGCAGCCGCGCATACCAATCTTATGTCACTGCCATCACTGCTCTACCTATTTTGATAATTTATTGTCTTCGAGAGCCAACCAGAGTGATTAAAAATCAAAAGCTTCGATTTACATTCCTAAACTTCACACACATTATTTCGATTCTTATAAATCTGTTGGTGCAGTGTTCTTGGTGGTTGCGATGTTTTTGCTGTCACAATTTCAAAAAAACAGGGTTTACCATCATTTGTGTGTTATTCCCAGTTTCAATAACTAATGATTAATTAAATTGGTTTACCTTATGGTTTCCAGGTCCTTGAAGATTGTAGACATTTCTATGCTTGATGTACATTTTCCACAAGTGTGGAATCTTCAGGAGGAAAGATTATCAAATCACTTAAAATGCAAACACTATTTTACTATTTGCATTTATTTACATTATCGGTCGGCAGACGCAGACGAGCAAGTAAGGGACAATATCCAGTCAGTCAGATGTTATACATGTAGTGCCTCCGACCAGCGCTTGCGCTCGGATTCCTGCGACCGTGCCGTAAATCGTCCGCAAACCAATAATAAATAAATGTAAATAGTAAAAAAAGTGTTTGTGCTTTAAGTGATGTGATAAACTTTCCACACTTGTGGTGAAATGTATATCGAGCGTAGATTATGGATATACAGGGTGGAACGAAGTTAGTGTTAACAAATTGTATGTGCTAAACTACTAAGTATTGGTGACAAAATGGCACCAATTTAAGTTGCCATATCTTCACAGGTAGGGAATAACAGACAAACTAAGATTTTTTTAATATTTGTATTTGCTTACATAAAATGGCCATAAGAACACTAAACATTGTTTTTATTTCGATCTTATTGTCATTTTCATAAGCCTTGTTAAATGTTCAATAATAATAGTACAGAGTTATTGAGATAAACCATCTGTATAAGCCCTTATTTTGCAATGGAAGTTTAAATTTGTCACTTATGAGAAAAATTCAAAACTTTTTCATAAGTTTTTCTGCTATAAACTTGACTATATATAGTGTGTAAAATGTTACTAAAAACTTAAATTAATAACCTTTAAAATGATGTATGAAAACTTACTGTTTCTTTGATTTGTTATTCTTAAATTTCAAGAGTTTTTATTAAAAAACTTTGAACGGCTAAGTTTTGATTTCCTTATGATAAATAGGTTCACATACCTTATAAATCACATACAGCTCAATTTTATAGATGGTCATTTACATGTTTCGGCTTGTATCGGCCATTGTCAAAACATCACAGTTGCATGGTGAAATCCTTGTCATTGTTTGTTACTAAAAGTAAGTACACATAAGGCCTACACGGTCGAAGAAAACGAATAATCAGGACAGACAGGTAGAGATTTCACGACTAAGAAACAAGGAGCATAAACCAGATCCTCGTTATACAAAACAAAAATCATCGTTTGCTAAGCATTTGGTCGTTAATAACCATGACATGAACGATATTAGTAAAGGCCTTGAAATTCTACATGTTTGCAAAAGGGGAAGCAAACTTAACACTATCGAAGAATTTGAAAATTATAAGGCACAGGTTAATGAGAACAAAAATGATGAGAGCATAATTCTGAATGAAAAACTTTTAAATACGACCACATTTTCAACAGCATTTTAAGGCCGGTCTACTGGGGCGTCATTTGGGGGGGCATTTGCCCCCCCCCCCCGGCTCCAAGACTAGAGAAAAAAATATGAAAGAAAGAAAGAAAGAAAGAGTTTTATTTCTCCATAAATATACAAATATGTACATAGAGAATAGTCATAAATTAATGATGAGAAAGTTCAATGTCATCTCAAAGCTTAGACTAACTTAGCACTACTGTTAAAAAAGTCATTCAAAGTATAAAATGCATTGTCATACAAGTATTGCCTGACCTTCTTCAAAAAACAGTTGTTAAAGTCTGTGTCTTTTTCTAATAATAAGAATTTATTAATTACCCTACGAGTCATATAATCAGGAGATTTTTCAAATTTTGCTGTTGAGTGCGAGGGATATATTATAAAATTACGTCTTGTGATATGCTGTACTAGTAATATACAAGTATTTTCTCCTGTAAAATCCTAAAATGCACGGCAGACAAAAATCCGCCTATTCTTGTACAGTAATTTGAAACAAAAATATTATTTTTTATTGTCTTCGATGGCACATTATGAGCTTACATCAATTAGTAGTTTTGTTATTCATATACTTTTTCTGTTTGGTTCTGTACGATCAACCACTTACTTCTAGTTTATATATACATAAACATGCAGATTATCTTAGAAGCATTGCTTTGTCATTTACTTTTATGAATTATTCAAGCATTAAAATTGTACACGTGTATCAATTTT